TTCCTGCGGCCTCCTGCACTGACCACTGAATGAGCCCCTCAGGGTTTGCCCACGGGGATTGGGATTGTTGCTTTTATCTTTGTGTGGGGAGCGGTGGTGAGTCTGGGCTGGAGGCCAGCAGAGCAGGTGTGATGGAGCCTGAGTTGGGGTCTCAGTGGGCATTGAAGGACTCTTGAGGCGGAGCCTGGCTGGACACTTGGGTCCTCGGGGCCCAGAGCGGCCCTCTGCCCCCTTCCCTTTGGCCCCTTGTCCACATCCTCTGGAGTGGGGGATCCTCCTGCTTCTAAGGGACCACAGGCACCTCCCCCAAGGTACATTCAAGTGGTAAGGGATTCTTTACTTTAAGGAACTTTAAAAGGAAAAGTAAAGAGAGAGAGGTCGACCTAATTCTGGCAGTGGATCAGCTGGAAGATGGACTTCTGTCTTGCTTCTTTGAAGAAAGAATTTAGGAAAGAGACCAAGATTGTGAAATAGAGACAGTGTTTACTAGAAGGAAGGTAAGAGTGGAAGAGCACATGGGGAACTTGGAGTGAGTCATGTGCCGTAGGGGTGGCTTAGGTTGCTTACATGGGGACGGTTTTCCAGGTGGTCTCTGGCCAATCATCTCGAAGTGTCAGCAGGAGAGTGGTTGCAGCTGCTCAGCCTGGAGCCCATCTATCTCCTACGTCAGGATGAGGGCACGGGGGATGTGGGTGGGTGCTGCAGGGCTGATTTGGCCACACTGCGGACCCCTTGGGAAGCACCTTCTGCTGTGGGACCCTGCCTCACAGCCTAGGGCCCTGCCTGCAGCCCTGGAAACTCCCCTGGCCTCTCCCCAGAAGGTCTTCTCTGCATCCTCATTCTGCACGAACGGGGCTTGGGGGTGGACAGCAGGGAGGGTGGGCAAGGGACAGGAGCAGGGCATGGGGGGCAGCCTACTTGGACCTGGGGGCACTGAGGGCGGGACTGAGCCTGGTGAGTGAGCCCTTGGCTTGGTTGGGCTGGGCTCAGACGCTGGATTGGGCTGGTTGGGACTGAGTCCTAGATTTGGCTCTGGGCTCCAGTGTGGGCTGGGCCATGGGCTCAAGGCCGTCACTGTGTTTCAGGGGTTGGTCAGTCAGAACCGGTGTGGGCCCAAGCCCAGGGGCCTGGGAGAAGCCTGGGGTGGTCAGCACCCACGCCCAGCCCAGGTCTCTCTGTGGAGGGAACAGATGCTCTTCTGGGACTTGCCCCAAAGCGGGGTGGTGTGGGGCTGTGCTAGGCAGGCCCCCTGTTGCCTTCAACCTTGGGGCTAGGCTGGAACCTCTGGGCGCCCGTGTGTGTGTGTAAGACACAGATGGAGGTGTGTGGTGGCGAGGTGAGGCACTGACAGGTGGGTGTGGAGCTCATGGTCTGGGGGGCTCTAGGGGTCAGGAGGCAGCGGGAGGCTGATCTCAGGCTCACACAGGGGCAGCCCGAAGGGCTCAAGGGCAGGCGTCGGCCACTGGGCTTTGGGGTGCTCGGGGGGCATGGAGAGGTGAGGGGTGCCGTGTGGTGTGGCACTGCTGAGGGGTGAGGGTGGGAGCCCTGGGGCCCAGTGTGGGGCAGTTCTTGAGGGGCCCAGAGGCAGCCGTGCCAGGGACGGGGTTCAGCTAGGAGGCCGTGCGGCCGGCCCTCGTGTGACCACCCTTGCGTTCCTGCGGGGCGGGACAGCTAGCGGCTGATCGTTGGTCTGGGGGATGGAAGTGAGGGGCAGGGCCCAGGGCTGGGCAGGCTGTGCTGCCCTCAGGCAAGTTCAGATTCTTGGTTACATGTTTAGGGGGAGGGAAACGCAGGGTGTGGGGTGACCCCCAGGTCCGTCACCTGGAGCCCCCATGGAGCCCAGCAGGCGGAGGGGGTCCTGTGCCAGCGTGCCCAGCGTGCCTGGCAGGGTCCCGAGGGCCAGATGTTCTCCTGGACACTGCTGTCCACCCCTCGGCCATCCTGTTTGCCGCCCCTCCCGGCCTCCCCGTTTGGTGCAGGGACCCCTGAGAGATGCAGTCCCTTCCCTGCATACCATTCTCTCTGTCTCTGCCTCTGTCTGTCTCTCTCCCCCAACAGGAAGCTGGACCGGCACATTGGACGGCCTTGGGGTGCAGCGTCCATGCTGACCAGACTCCGGCTGCCGGTCTGGAGGGCTGTCCGGCCAGTCCCCTCGCCCTGAAAGGCTGCAACAAACACAAGCGTGGCTTCCAGCAGCCCAAGGCCGCGTCCCCGCGATGAGCCAGCCCCCCTGAAATGCCGGCCTGAGGGAGCCCAGCACGGCCAGCACCCGACCCAGACCCCGGCCCACTTTTTTGGAGCTTTTACTGAGAAGGGCCGACAGCTGTGGATCCTGACTCTGCCCTCTGGGGAGGGTTGTGTCTCCTCTGAGGTGGAATCACCAGGAGGGATGGGTCCCTGGTCTCTGTGAGGGCAGAGTCCTGACCCATCCCTGCATCCTTGCCGGCCGGCGGGCACAGCGGCCTCATCGCATCTGCACGGCCACCCTTCCTGGTCCCTCACCATAGCCCCTGGAGCCCCACTCCTGCTTCTCCTGTGACACACTGGTCACCTCTGTGCAGCCAGCTGAGCTCAGTGCCACCCGACCCCCTCCCCTCCTGAGGTCCTTCTCACTGCTGTCTGTCCTGAGTGGTGAGCCAGGTCTGGCTCTGCTCCCCTTTGTTCTCTTGCTTTTTTTTTTTGTTTTTTTTTCTTTTTGCGGTACGCGGGCCTCTCACTGCCGTGGCCTCTCCCGCCACGGAGCAACAGGCTCCGGATGCGCAGTTCAGCGGCCATGGCTCACGGGCCCAGCCGCTCCGCGGGATGTGGGATCTTCCCGGAGCGGGGCACGAACCCGTGTCCCATGCATCGGCAGGCGGACTCTCAACCACTGCGCCACCAGGGAAGCCCTCTGCTCCCCTTTGGCAGCCCCTCCCAACCGCTGCCCCTCCTGGCCTGGCGTCCTGGCGTCCCTCTTGGCCCTCCTTTCTTGCACCCAGCTCGGCTGTTTTGGGCTGAATTGTGTCCCCAAATTCCAGCTTTGAAGCCCGGACCCCCAGGACCTCAGTATTTGGAGATGGGGTCTGTAAAGATGTGATGACGTAAAGTGGGCTCTCTAGGGTGGGCCCTAATCCAGTCTGACTGGTGTCCTTAAAAGAGGAGGACAATAGGACAGAGACACGCACAGAGGGACGACCACATGAGGACACGGAGAAGACGGCGTCTACACGGCACGGAGACAGGCCTCGGGAGAAGCCAGCCCTGCACCTCCAGGATCTGGGATTCCAGCCTCCAGGGTGTCAGACAGTGATGTCTGTTGTCAAAGGCCCCCTGTGGTGTCTGTTACAGCCTCCTGTGCGGACACACCCAACACGTGCGACTTCCCCGTGGCTCCCCCAGGCCCCTGGCTCGCCCCTGCGCCCACAGGCCAGGCAGGAACCCCAGGCTTGGGTGGTGGCGTGGGGGAGTCTGGCTGTGGATTTCACGAGGGTAGGCGGCGTGTTAACCTAGGGAGACTTCTCAGCGAGCTAGGCGATTGTAAAGAACGTTTTATTGTCATCAACAAAATGAAGACACAGCGAAGAGCATCAGTGGGCCCCACATTCAGAAAGGAGAAAAGCCTCCCGAGCTGCGATCATGTGGCCCTTCTTTCCAGCCCGGGAGCAGCTCCAGCACCGGCGCACGCTGACTGCGCTTTTCCGCAGAGACCCGGAGAGTTGGTACCGGGCCCTGAGGCGGGGCCCGGGGTCGGAGGCTGGCCCTACGCGGGTCGCGCCTCTCACCCCCATCCCGGTGCAGGCGGAGCTCCTGCTGTACGTGCCTCAGGCCTTTGGCTGCAGGATGGGCTGGCCGCGCCTTCTGCCCTCTTTCCCGGGAGCCCCTCCAGCTCAGCCCGCGGGGCACCAGGTCAACAGCGTGCTCTCCGGGAGGCCGGTCTGGCTGGACCTCACCGCCTCCCGTGCTGGGGCTCCTGCAGCAGCCTCGGGCCCAGACCCTGCTCTGAGCAGCACCTTTGGTGGAGGTGACCAGAGGGACCATTAGTGGCACCTGCAAGAGCTCTCCTGCTGGGAGAGGCGGGCGGTTCCCCTCCAGCATCTGGCACAGGCCCTCCTCCCGGGGACCCTGGGTCTGGAGCCCGGCCGGGACAAGATGCAGGGGGCAGGCCCTGTGCAGAGGCCCGGACGCCGGCCTCCTCCTCCTGTTCGAGGGGGAACCCCACGCTGACCCGAGCGTTCCTGGTGGTCCCTGGGGCCCCGGAGGTGTCCTGCGGGGACATCAGCTCAGGTTGGGCATCACCTGCGGTCCACTCGGGTCTGTGAGTGGGTTGGGGGGCAGGTTGTGGTGGCCACGAGGCCAGAGGCCGGGGATGCAGGCGAGGGTGCTCGTGAGCTCAGAGGCTGGCGAGGTCAGCGGGCGGCGGAGAGGCCTGGCGCAGGCTGAGCGGCACAAGGGGATGGACGTGGTCCTACAGGTCAGGGGCGGCCCAGGACGCAGCCCGTAGCGAGCGCTAGGCACCCTGCCCGATCATGTTCCTGTAGTCAGGGACAATCGTCCGCTTCAGCTCCACCACCGACGAGAAGATCCACTTCACCTGAGGGGCAGCGGGGGTGAGCGCTGGCGGGAAACCACTCGGGCCGCCCCCCAGGGCCTGTCACCCATTCCCCGGGCCGATGGACAGCGGGGGTTCCAGGGGCACAGGATGCCATAATGGGGACAGTGTGAGAAAACCCCACGCTGACCCGAGCGTTCCTGGTGGTCCCTGGGGCCCCGGAGGTGTCCTGCGGGGACATCAGCTCAGGTTGGGCATCACCTGCGGTCCACTCGGGTCTGTGAGTGGGTTGGGGGGCAGGTTGTGGTGGCCACGAGGCCAGAGGCCGGGGATGCAGGCGAGGGTGCTCGTGAGCTCAGAGGCTGGCGAGGTCAGCGGGCGGCGGAGAGGCCTGGCGCAGGCTGAGCGGCACAAGGGGATGGACGTGGTCCTACAGGTCAGGGGCGGCCCAGGACGCAGCCCGTAGCGAGCGCTAGGCACCCTGCCCGATCATGTTCCTGTAGTCAGGGACAATCGTCCGCTTCAGCTCCACCACCGACGAGAAGATCCACTTCACCTGAGGGGCAGCGGGGGTGAGCGCTGGCGGGAAACCACCCGGGGCGCCCCCCAGGGCCTGTCACCATTCCCCGGGCCGACGGCCAGCGAGGGGTTCCGGGGGGACAGGAGGCCATGATAGGGACAGTGTGGGAGAATGAGGGACAGTGGGGGACTGGGAGGGACAGTGAGGGACAGTGAGGGGACAGTGAGGGACAGTGAGGGCCCGTGAGGGACAGTGAGGGACAGTGAGGAACCGTGAGGAACAGTGAGGGGACAGTGAGGGACAGTGAGGGCCCATTAGGGACAGTGAGGGACAGTGAGGGAACAGTGAGGAACAGTGAGGGCCCGCGAGGGACAGTGAGGGACAGTGAGGGACAATGAGGGACAGTGAGGGACTGTGAGGAACAGTGAGGGACAGTGAGGGACAGTGAGGGACTGTGAGGAACAGTGAGGGACTGTGAGGGACCGTGAGGGACAGTGAGGGACAGTGAGGGACAGTGAGGGACACTGAGGGGACAGTGAGGGACAGTGAGGGACTGTGAGGGACTGTGAGGGACCATGAGTGGCAGTGAGGGACAGGGAGGGACCGTGAGTGGCAGTGAGGCACAGTGAGGGACCATGAGGGACAGTGAGGGACTGTGAGGGACAGTGAGGGGACGGTGAGGGACCGTGAGGGACCGTGAGGGACAGTGAGGGACAGTGAGGGACCGTGAGGGACAGTGAGGGACAGTGAGGGGACAGTGAGGGACAGTGAGAGACCATGAGGGACAGTGAGGGACTGTGAGGGACAGTGAAGGACAGTGAGGGACAGTGAGGGACAGTGAAGGATATTGAGGGGACAGCGAGGGACAGTAGAGACCATGAGGGACAGTGAGGGGAAAGTGAGGGACAGTGAGGGACCGTGAGGGGAAAGTGAGGGACAGTGAGGGACCGTGAGGGACCGTGAGGGACAGTGAGGGACTGTGAGGGACAGTGAGGGGACAGTGAGGACAGTGAGGGACAGTGAAGGATATTGAGGGGACAGCGAGGGACAGTAGAGACCATGAGGGACAGTGAGGGGAAAGTGAGGGAACAGTGAGAGTCCGTGAGTGACCGTGAGGGACCGTGAGGGACAGTGAGGGACAGTGAGGGACAGTGAGGGACTGTGAGGGACAGTGAGGGGACAGTGAGGGACAGTGAGGGGACAGTGAGGGACAGTGAGGGGACGGTGAGGGACCGTGAGGGACCGTGAGGGACAGTGAGGGGACAGTGAGCGACAGTGAGGGCCCGTGAGGGCCCGTGAGGGACAGTGAGGGACCGTGAGGGACCGTGAGGGACAGTGAGGGACAGTGAGGGGACAGTGCGGGACAGTGAGAGTCCATGAGGGACCGTGAGGGACAGTGAGGGTATAGTGAGGGACCCTGAGGGACAGTGAGGGACTGTGAGGGACAGTGAGGGGACAGTGAGGGACCGTGAGGGACCGTGAGGGACAGTGAGGGGACAGTGAGCGACAGTGAGGGACAGTGAGGGGACAGTGAGCGACAGTGAGGGACCGTGAGGGACAGTGAGGGGACAGTGAGGGACAGTGAGGGACAGTGAGGGGACAGTGAGCGACAGTGAGGGACCGTGAGGGACAGTGAGGGGACAGTGCGGGACAGTGAGAGTCCGTGAGGGACCGTGAGGGACAGTGAGGGGATAGTGAGGGGCCCTGAGGGACAGTGAAGGACTGTGAGGGACAGTGAGGGACTGTGAGGGACAGTGAGGGACTGTGAGGGACAGTGAGTGACCGTGAGGGAAGGTGAGGGGACAGTGAGGGGCCGTGGGGGATAGTGAGGGGATAGTGAGGGACAGTGAGGGGATAGTGAGGGGCCCTGAGGGACAGTGAAGGACTGTGAGAGACAGTGAGGGACTGTGAGGGACAGTGAGGGACTGTGAGGGACAGTGAGTGACAGTGAGGGAAGGTGAGGGGACAGTGAGGGGCCGTGGGGGATAGTGAGGGGATAGTGAGGGACAGTGAGGGACGGTGAGGGACAGTGAGGGACAGTGAGGGGCCCTGAGGGACAGTGAGGGACAGTGAGGGGCCCTGAGGGACAGTGAGGGACAGTGAGGGGCCCTGAGGGACAGTGAGGGACAGTGAGGGGCCCTGAGGGACAGTGAGGGACAGTGAGGGGCCCTGAGGGACAGTGAGGGACAGTGAGGGGCCCTGAGGGACAGTGAGGGACAGTGAGGGGCCCTGAGGGACAGTGAGGGACAGTGAGGGGCCCTGAGGGACAGTGAGGGACAGTGAGGGGCCCTGAGGGACAGTGAGGGACAGTGAGGGGCCCTGAGGGACAGTGAGGGACAGTGAGGGGCCCTGAGGGACAGTGAGGGACAGTGAGGGGCCCTGAGGGACAGTGAGGGACAGTGAGGGGCCCTGAGGGACAGTGAGGGACAGTGAGGGGCCCTGAGGGACAGTGAGGGACAGTGAGGGGCCCTGAGGGACAGTGAGGGACAGTGAGGGGCCCTGAGGGACAGTGAGGGACAGTGAGGGGCCCTGAGGGACAGTGAGGGACAGTGAGGGGCCCTGAGGGACAGTGAGGGACAGTGAGGGGCCCTGAGGGACAGTGAGGGACAGTGAGGGGCCCTGAGGGACAGTGAGGGACAGTGAGGGGCCCTGAGGGACAGTGAGGGACAGTGAGGGGCCCTGAGGGACAGTGAGGGACAGTGAGGGGCCCTGAGGGACAGTGAGGGACAGTGAGGGGCCCTGAGGGACAGTGAGGGACAGTGAGGGGCCCTGAGGGACAGTGAGGGACAGTGAGGGGCCCTGAGGGACAGTGAGGGACAGTGAGGGGCCCTGAGGGACAGTGAGGGACAGTGAGGGGCCCTGAGGGACAGTGAGGGACAGTGAGGGGCCCTGAGGGACAGTGAGGGACAGTGAGGGGCCCTGAGGGACAGTGAGGGACAGTGAGGGGCCCTGAGGGACAGTGAGGGACAGTGAGGGGCCCTGAGGGACAGTGAGGGACAGTGAGGGGCCCTGAGGGACAGTGAGGGACAGTGAGGGGCCCTGAGGGACAGTGAGGGACAGTGAGGGGCCCTGAGGGACAGTGAGGGACAGTGAGGGGCCCTGAGGGACAGTGAGGGACAGTGAGGGGACAGGGAGGGACAGTGAGGGACAGTGAGAGTCCGTGAGTGACCGTGAGGGACCGTGAGGGACCGTGAGGGACCCTGAGGGACAGTGCAGGGTCTGTGAGGGGACAGCGAGGGCGCCGCGGGGCCGGCCCGCCCACCTTGAAGAGCG